TCAGCATACATGACAGAATATTCACTCAGGAGTAACGTACTTACAACAAAGTCTCACCTTGCCACCAAGGGCTGTGAGAAAATGAGTTAGACTCCGAGCTGTTTTGGAACACAGAGCAGAAAAGCACATGAAGTACAGACACAGAGGAAGGATGTGACAATTCAGTCTTTTCAAGAATTTGAAGAAAAAATGCAATTCTATTCCACAGCAGTAGATACTGCATTAAAAAAAGATCAGACTAAAGTTACGCAAACTCTCTTACACTTGAAGTGAGATAATTTACTATATGCTGTTCTAAGCAAGATTGTGAAACATACAAGCATGATCGTCTAATTCTTCCACAATTTATTAATTTCCTTTGAAAATGATGAGAAAATAAGGAATGTAATTTAAGCATGCTGAAAGAAAACTATTTACACAAGACTGGTACTTAAATAGCTCTAATGCCTGCACTAACTTAAATTTGTCAGTTTGCAATTTAATTTTTCATATCAAAAATAAAACATTGGGGGAATTGTTTTTAACTATTTTGATTTTACAACATGCAAATTAAATGCCTCAAATGTAAATGGCATCGCCCAAAACAGATGTTGTCAGATGAAAACATTTACTTAACAACAGTTATTTACTGAACTTCAGTTTACTTCATGCATTTCATAAGACTTTTTTTAATAATGAGATTCAATTCCATAACACCATGCCCTTCTCTCAAAAGCTTGGTGTAAAGAATGCCTTAGAAGGAAAAATCGCATAACTAAAAGTAAAATTAATAAGGTTAAAAACTGGAACTTAAAAAGAAAGAGAAAAAACTAAGTTGTGTAACACTAAAAAACAGCCAAAAAGTTCTAGATGCCAGAAGAAAGCTATGCTTTAAGTAGCATTCTGCACTACTTCACCAGAAGCATTAAAACATTGAAACAACCATCCCTGCGAGTAAAACGTGAATACTCCATTTTTAATTTTTTAGGTTTGGGGGTTTAGACTGTTTTATCTAACAGATGTTAGACCAAAGCCTCACAAGATACCAGCAGATGAAAGATAAGTTTTCACTTGGGCAACTATTTACCTTGAAAATTGTGAGCCAATTTTTTGGCCAAATTTAGAATAGCTAAATTACTTCAGCATGATAAAGACTTCAGGTTCTGGCAGGAATGGAATGAAGTCCCCACAACAAACAGCCAACCACTCCCACTCTCTATCAGCTGGTATAAGTTGATCAACAGGCATGACTGTAAGGTTCAATGGCAGCAGGCAGCTGAGTCTGTTAAGTAGCTGCATATGCTCCTGCAGAGGAGGAGCTGGGAAGGAAGATGAAGAAATGAAGACCTCAGTTTTGTAGTGGCACTTTGAGTCAACTCTTGAAAGGAACTCAACTGTGACTTTATTCTAACTGTAGACCAGCCTGGAAAACTGTGTAGGGTTTGTTTTTTTTTTTTAATTCTTAAATAAATGAATCTTCCCACTGAGTGTGTTTGGGTTGGTAAACAGCAAAGTCTCTTCTCAAGCCAATGCTACTTTCTTTCAAGTCACTTGCTAGTTTCTTCAGATGCTAATGGAATAGTCAAAAGAAGTATCAAAAAAAATGCATCCAGCATTTTATAAAATGTTAAGAAACCTAGATAAGACCTGGTAAAATTGCCTTTTTTCAGGAAATAACCAATCGAAAACTGTGATTCAGTACATTAATAAATTAGCTGAGATGCTATTACAATCAGATTTTGATTAACACTGTTAAGTCTCCTTTGTCTGAACAATGGCTTTAGGGGAAAAAAAATGCAGTAACTTAAAAATTCTTTCAAATTGACAAAACTTACAGGATCAAAATATGAAAACCAAGTTGGTACATTTCAGTACCCTGTATTTTTCCAAAAGGAATGCTACTTTATATGAAATGTTTGAAGAATAAATCTATAAACATGCTAATAAAAATAAATACCTTTCTTGAACAGGTAAGTTGCTAGAGTAACATGAACTGTGTGCGTAATGGCTCTTTTTGGTACACACAATGCAATATATTATTACAAACTGCCAACAAAAGGAGTAGACTACTAGAGAGGTTTCTCAGGTTTACCTTCCTCTCAAGACCAGAAGACTGAAGCCAGAACACAGGTAAGAAAGGTATCTCTTTGCCAGCATTTAACATGTAGATATTATTTGATAGAGCTTTTTGTTTTGAAAAGCAATGCTGAGGAAAGTTTCAGCTATGACTAACCAATACCCTTCCCTTCACCACGAGACAACACTAAGCACAATGAGGAAGAATATGAGCTCTAATAAACATTCTAAGAGAAAACAAGCTCAGCCAAGACTTTTCAGAACAAATTCAGTGCAATGGAAGTCTCTGCGTATGCACACCTGGTAAAGCAGACATTTTGGTAGAAGCATAATTACTAGACATTTTTCAAAGAAAACTGTACCTTTACCGGACAAAGCTATTAGCTCTGTATTAGGGTTGTGATGACTTTCCATTATGCAAAACAAAACGTAGGACCTAGGTAAGACCTTTTTTCCTCTCACACACTCATGAGAACAGTAAAGATGTCCTCTGCTGCTCACCTGGGAAGCGAGGCTTGGAGGAACACCTCTCACACAATGGGCTGTAGCTACCAACATCTAAAATCTAACCCACAGTTTTCACAGCTACACCACTAACAGAGCAATCTATGTTATTTGGACTTCAGATAATTACCAACCATCTCTGACCCAAGACTAGGAATGTTTATATTCTTGCCTCAGGTAGAAAAGTTTTGCTAAATGAAAACAGAAAATACGGCCCGACTGTATTTGTTATGGAAGGAAGTGCATTATCCAGGCTGGGGGGGAGGAAATACACAGACACCCTTCTTATCTTGCTTCAAAACTTCTTGGTAGTTTGCAGAAAAGAGGAATCAAGTAGCCTCTCACCCTTTAGCTTTAACTTCTCTCATTCTGCTGTCCCTTCCACATACCTTCCTCTTTCAGTTTAAAACTAAACGGTTTTTCCTGATTTGCAGATCAGAAGAGCAATATATTTTTGACTGGAAAAAAAAAAATTATAATTTCATTATCTACTTCTAACTGCATATTTATTCTTCAACCTAAAGAAAGGGTGCCATACAATATTGCAAGAGGTTATAAATAAGGGGAGGAACATCACTGAAAAAGATCATCTTAGATAACTTCGATATAGACAAAATACCAGATGCATATGGAAAAGCCATTGAAGGTCATCAAGATAATTCAGCCTGATTCTGTTAGTTAGAAGCAGTTTTACATTGATCGTTACTTTGGAAAAGTGAGTTTCTTATAACATAAAGGAGGGACCAATTAAATTCTCCCCAAATTTAGGGGATGGCAGTTTTAATACCTTCCAGTCCATTTACTGTTCCTAGACAAGTAGGAAAAATGTCACTATAAATCTCTACCCTATCTTTAATATAACCAGGTGTTTATAGCTATTCACTTCAGGCAATAGTTTCTGCTATTCATCTGCTTTTTGTTACTGACTTATATACCCCATGTCCTCATAGGTAACAAGGTGTGATGGAGACAAACCAAGACTCTCTGCGGTCACTGGAAATAGAAAATTTAAGAATCAAGATTACCCAGCAGAGCAAATGCTATGAGGAGCACACTCATCTGTTTGGTGCTGTTGCCTACAAGCCAACAAAGAGCAGGCTTGTCTGGGTTACTTTGCCTTGCTAAGTCCATAATACAGAAGTCACTTCCAAAACAAAATGAACTGAAAAAAACATCCCAGCTTATTATTTTAAATTCAAATTTTAGATTCCAAAGGGAAAGCAAGTTTCCTGACATAGAATATGCCAATATTGATAACTATAGAAGTATAATAATCAGTAGGCTTTTGAAACACACCCAATTCAGCAGCTCCTCTAGGCATTTTTCACTTAACATTGCATTCTTCTCACATGCTTAAACAGGCATACAATACAAAAGATTTATGTTTTACTTAAACATTTGTGCTCCAGTATCTGAATGAACCAGAGCCTTGGATCACGTGATTATAGTAAAACAGCAATTCCCAAGCTACTTTGTGCAACAGTTCCCTCCCAAATTACCTCTACTGCTCACTCTGCCCCTCATAACTAGCCTGGGCACAATACCGCAATGATGAGATTAAATGGCTTCTGGTACAGCAAAATGTCTTGAACCTCAATCATCTCTCATTCTTTCTTTTAGGTAGCTAAGCCCTGAAGTTTGGAATTTACCAAATGTACTGTATCGAATTTACCAAAAATAAACGGGCATGTTTATTTTTCCTCACATTAAGAAACACCTGTTTTAAGAAAACAGCCTTTCTTCTCTGCTTACAGAGATAAAACACACTGTGAAGTTTATCATTAACAATTGTACATTCTGAAACACAATGCAAATAAGTAGTACTGGAAATTCGCATATGTTCTTAAGCACAGGCTCCATTTTGATATTTACATGCTTGTTTCACTTCTGCTTACATGAGTTTTGCACATCATAGTTACACTGATATTAAATCAGTAGGAAATGAATTTAACAAAACAGCATATGAATAACAGCACCTCAGGGGGTCTGAAAATTTTCCGCAGAAAAAAAAAAATGCATCAACAGAAATATTTGGATTTTCCATGAAACCTTCATCTACTCAGGTCTGGGAATAATGGGGTATGCTAATGACACTGCTGCCTTAGAAGAGTGGTAGTTGATAGTCAGATTTCCCCCTTCTCAATTTGGTATGCAGATCTTCTGCGTGGCAAGACTTACAAGCACCGATAAACATTTTAATTAATACAACCACTTGGGAGTTACAGGAGCTTATACTAGAAGAAGTGAGGTGGGACTATCTTCTACCATTACAGCATTTCTAAAGGAATAGTAGTTTCAAATAAAATCTATCATCACTATGTTCAACCCACTGCATTTTGTAGGCTTCCGCAGCAAGACAATAATGTTATGATTATCACCATTTAAACCAACCACATGCAATAATAAAAAACAATTTTCTGCAAAAAGAGTAAAATAAATACCTGCAGGACTGCCAGCATTTTCTCCTTGATGCAGCTGAATACCAGCAGAATCTATAGAGTTTACTGTAACTGTCTGTAGATTTGGCAATTGAGCAGTGCTTAGACTAACTGGAGTTGACGTCAATGCCCCACCTGCTGCAACTTGACCAAGAGTGAGAGTCTGCACAGGGGTTAGAGTTATTTGTTGACCAGGTGCATTCTGAATTTGCAAGTTCTGCAAGTTCTGAACTCCTTGCACTTGAAATGTCTGCCAGGTTATCTGCCCAGAAGGGGTCACTGTTTGTGCCTGAATTAAAAAAGTTCCAGGATTCAGCTGCAGTTGAAGATTTTGAAGAGCCTGTTGAGATATACTTTGACTTGCTTGCACACCATGGATTGTCTGTTGCGCAATACCTTGTACAATCTGGGCTTGACTGGTTGGCTGCTGAGACTCTTGAAGCTGTATGTGTTGTACAATTGGCTGTGCTGTGGAGACCTGAATATTCTGAGCCTGTGTGTCATCAGAGACTGACGTCTGGATGTAATTTCCCTGAAGATCAGAACTATGAACTTGACCACTAGTTGTGGTCAAGTTGTTTGCATTTTGTTCCAATATACTTGAACTGTCTATGGTAACGGGCAATTGTGATGAAGATGATGTTGGCACAAATAAGTCATTATCAGTGGCGGTTTCTGTAATTTCAGGAGAAACTTGCTCACCAGTCCTTTCAGAAGTATCTGAACTATCCATGGCCTGTCCAGTATTTATCAAGTGCCCATCTGCATTAATGCCTGCTGTCATGGTTTGAGAACCACTGCCGAGTCCCAGAGAATCTAGATCAACACTGTTGATGGGTACAAAAGTAATATTTCCTGGCAGTCCAAGAGGGACATTAGCAACAACCTGTGCTTGGCCAGGGAAAGACGAACCACCAATCGCAACTCCCTGAACCTGGACTTGACCAGACTGTGATAAGATATTCTGAATATTAGCTGAAGGTGTTCCAGAGGCAATGATGGTTTGATTAGAGCCAGGAATGATCTGAATTTGACCAGTTTCTTGATTTATACTGCTATTATCAGAAGAGGCTGCAAAGCCAAGTTGAACCTGCTGACCATCCGCTGTCTGGATCTGGGGTATTACTTGGTATTGTACGTTAGACACTGTACCATTCGACGAATCTGATCCTGGTGCAACAGAAAAGATTTGTTGATTTTGCAAACTCTGAATAGGAAGGACATACTGCCCACTTGAAGTTACTGTGGCAGCACCTGGAATCTGTACTATATTACCAGCTTCATCCTTTATAGTGGCAGGAGCTGCAGACAAGACCTCCCATCTATTTGGGGTTCCTGTTAATTGCACAGAAGCCAAATCCCCTGTCTGAATAAAAAGAAAAAAGAAAAGACAAAATTAAAACAAGAGACGTACAGACTATACACTAGAACAATCATGCAATTCAACACTAGAGATTGCCACACTACTGGAAAACATGCAATGCAGCCCATATGAACAACAGCAACTGGATTAGAACTATGAAATACAGATTTTGTAAGTGAGCTAATGCCTAAGTCAGGGTAACCAACCTGTGGGTCGTGAGCTGCATGTTGCTCGCGAGCAGGTCAAATGCAGCTCCTGTGCCATGGCTACGTCAGGTGACCAGCAGCAGGGTTATTCTGGTGTGGGGGCTGCTGGGTAATCCAAATCCCTGGCTGTGGGAAGAAGTGAGCTAGCAGGGGCTGCTGGAGCTGTCATCACCAGGTTACCCTGGGACTCAGCTATGCTCTTTACCTAGCCCAGCACCTATTGCACAGAAGTGGAGGAATTGCCGTGAAGCCAGTGTCGGCTGTATCTCCCAGAGCTCCACTGTCTTTTGACCGTGTGTTACACATAGTATAGATCTGCATGTTGTGACTCTCAGCAGTACAGAGAGCGTTAAGAGGTGACTTACTCACACGGTTGGAAAGTTTAAGTTATGCATAACACAAAGTCCTAGTATTTATGAGCTTGTATGAGTTACTGTTTCACTAGGGAAGAAGGCCTCTAGACTAAGGGCTTTACACTAAAAACACAGTTGGATTAGTCATACGTATCCATTGGGGGTGGGGTGGGGGGGAAATCTATCTTCATTAAGTTGGAACAATAGAAAAGGCCAATGTTTCAGAACAGACCCCCGGATGGTTAAAGACTAAAGAACCTAAGGACTGATGTAGTATGTTTTTGTTTCTTATTCAGTAAAGAAAAGGTAAATGGCACTTACCTTTCTTTACCAAAGCAAGCTTTTTCAGAATAGACTATTAAGAATTAGATTTAACATTCCACAATGCTTAGCACAGATTTGTGTAGCCAACCAACTTGGTATTGTAAATAACTATCAATCTAAAAAAGACGTAGTTAAGTTTCTCCTTATCTGTTTTACGGCACTACAGTAAACCGATGGAATAACTTAATATTTAGCAACAAGTAAGTAACTTGTCTCACAACTCATTCAGCTCTGTGAAACAAATTTTGTCTCTTTGGCAGAGTCCACAGGACATAGAAAGAAAAGCTGTAGTTTGTCCTTCTGCACTGATCCTGCGATCACTCCTGATAGTGAAGTTACCGGAGCATATCACAGCTTCCTTCTGATGCTGCACTCGGACTTCCTTTACAATAAAACCTGGGTATGCAAAATGCAGCACACAGCTTTTTCTTCTCTAACATGGCATTGAGACTTAGCCAGCCTGAATGAATCCTGCGGCATACATCCAAGTGAATTTAGTCCACTGTGTAGGCTGGGACTTTGCTAGTTTCACTTTCTTATCCTATTCTGAGCTGCAACACTAAAACGTTAACATGTACAAGAAAAATACTCTATTTAAGTTTGAGTACTTATTTAAAAAAATAGTTTTACTGTGTTTGGCAGGCTTCATTTCCAATAAGGAAACACACATCTTGGTTCTAAATTCCTCTCGAGAGCTGTAGAAATAACGATTGCAAATAAAAAAAGAATGCTAGCCTTCTTTTGCCCCCAAAGATATATGTGTATCTTTCAGGTAGTTTGTTAGTAAATAGATACATCATCACAAGAACAAAACTAATTTTATGGCCTTAATGCTTCAAGTATCAGAAAGAAAAAAAGGAGTAATGGTAGTTCCATTTTATTATTTTCTTTTCCTCCTATACTGATTAGCCTTTCATTTAAAGGACATATTTAAATCCTTTAGTCTTTCAAGCTTATAATTTATGAGGTTAGAAAAAATTACGCAATATTCCATATCATACCATCTTATCGCAAAAAAAAATCCATTTTCCACTGCTACCACATTAGCTTTATACTCTTGTGTTTAATACTGTTTCCACATAGGTACCGGTTGCTGAAATGCTGCTAAGAAAGTTCATAGCTACTCAATTCACTAGTACATAGATACTTATTAACTGAAGGTTTTATAAAGCATCAAAAGACCTATAAAAGTCACAGGTAAACATCAGCCAGAAAATACCAAAAGCAAAAATATGATTGTTACACATTTAATGTGTGTCATTAGAAAATAAATGTATAATATAATGTGCTGATAGTATCTGTTAGAACAGGAGAGAAGGAAAAAGTAACGGGAACCATTACAAGTCTGACATAATTTCTCACTGATTTGAGACTACATACAAGCAAATGATGAATGTTTAGGCTATAACTGGACTGATCTAATGTGCAATAGTATGTCTACGTCTACTCATACGTAATACATGAGTATCCTCCACAGAAATAGTTCAAAGGGAACCTGTCTACTTCCTACTGTAGAAATTACCTACGTTATTCTTCTCCTCCCCAAACACATGTTGATTTCCATATCGCCATTTGACAGCCTTTGCCCTTTTCCCATTGGGCAGACATCTCTCCTCGTCTTTTCATGATCTAGTGAAATCCTCCCTCAAACCTTGCTCTGTAAGCATTTTAGCTCAATAGAGCCACTCTTTTAGTAGATGCACTTGTCAGTCCATGAAGTAGTTCAGGGTAGCCATGCATCTGGATATGAAACTATTGCTACACATAGTACACGAAATGCCTGTTATTCACATGTTGCTCTTACAGCTGGCTATATCAGACACTACCAGATCAATCACGAGGAGGGAGGGGAAAAAAAAAAGAGGGTGAGGCTTTCAAGAAGCTATCTGACAGCTATCAAAATTACTAGTATTAAAGCATGAAAAAAACCCTGTATGGTAAAGAGTATTTGAGGATGATCTCTAACCTCAAATGGTCAGCAACCTGTCATAACAAGCTTGACTGTTATACCCTTTCTCAAAGCATGCTGAGCTAGTAGGACATTTCTTGGACTCTTTTTCCTACTACAAAGAGTAGCAATCTTTCACTGCATCCTCAAGCAATTAAGCATTGTTGTAGTAACTCAAAGTTCTACCACTGATGTATGAGCAGCAACATCTACAGCCCACTTGCTTACTGATCTTTACAGCGCAGTCCTAAAAGACCAGAGTGAGTTTGCTGTCTCTCAGCCACCCATGAAAAATACTTAGAGGGTACAGATAAAGCAACAGTTCTTTTCCTTATCAACTGATACTCAGGCAGCAGTTATTTGGAAGCTGCTCCTTTAAGAGAACATTGGACGGTTGCAATCCAAAGGCTCTGTGTCAAGAGGAAGGGACAAAGATCTGAGGAAAGTTCAGCATTAGCACTACTCAGCCAAGGAGGAGAGAACAGGAAGCAACAGGGAGTTCACTGGAAGCAGTATCAGGAAACAAGAGAGAGAGACAGGAACAGAGCAAAGAGAGTAGCTGGCACAAGGCACGGGAAGAATTAAAATCAAATGATACGTCCACCTGAAGAAAGGTCAAGTACCACCAAAGAGTGGAAGCAACAACCGGTGTTCAGCCTGTCTTTTGATTCTTTAACAAGCCTTGTATAATTTCCAGTGGGTAAAATAAAGAGATCTCTCTGAGCCAAAATACTCATCCCTGAAGAATGAGGGGTCATGAAGTCTAATAATTGTCGTCTTCAATTTGTTTAGAGAAAATTAAAGCAACATTAAGTCAAATGTGGAAGAAGATAAGAGAAACAAATACAGAAGATAAAATACCTTTAAAAAGTGATCTAAACTGTGTTGAGGGATGGGACTTGGGTTGAAAAAATAAAACATCCTTCACGAAAGTAAAACTAGAAAGGGGAGAAACATCCCTGTAAGAACTGTTAGATGTTGTAGGCACCTGCATTTCAACACGTCAAATGTGATCAGCTGGACACATGCCATTAGCTATCAGTATTTTATTGCTAAAGAACTACCAAACATTTATCTGTGCCAGTCCATCATGGACTGCTTTTTGCTGCACCTTTCAGAAAGTCACTTTTGCCCCATTTAGTCCTCGAGCAAAAGCATCAGCAAAATGAGCAGAGGTGGACAGACAATGAGTCACGAGCTCCTAAACATTTAAAAATCACATACCTAATGAAGAAGATTGGCCACTGCCTCATCCAAATTGTTGTTTTATGAACGAGTTAGGGCTCTAATGCATGAGTTTAATACCATGTGTTTACCAAGCTACAGTAAACTATCTGTGCATTCTTAGGTCATTACAAATATAAGATAAAATGCACTTGCTTCAACTCTTTCATTAAGGTATGAGCTAATACATTCTATCTTGTATTTGCCATAGGTTAAAAACACGTTCAGCATCAGTCGCTGCGGTTAAGCTGACACAAAGCTGCTTGTTAAGGCAAATTAATCCTGTTGCATGTTTCAGCCCTCTGCCAATGAAGCCACTCAATTCAGAGAAACACATTTGCCCCAATCAAAAGTTTAGAGAATCAAAGAATGTTTCCAGGAAAAAGTATTATCTGGGGCTGCTTAAAATGTTATTTTAAAAGATAATTCTAATCTGGTGAAATGTATCCAACGTTTAATTGTGTCTCATTTAAGGAACATCTACATCTTTTTCCTTGAGATGGACAACCGGACCCAAAACTTTAATAGCGTGTTTTTAATCAGCAGAACTTCAGAACCTGTCTAAATTAAGACAATACAACGTCCCTGACATTAGCAGAAACAAGAAAGATGCAGTACTGAGAATGACACATGGCAACAAGGAGGCATTTTTTACTCGATTGCATGTAACTTTTTTTTAATTAATTATTAATCTATCTATGTGTATCAATCTCTATATAACTGCATGCCAAACTAGAATTTTGCATAGAAGTTTGTGTGAAATGGTTCATTTTTTTCATGCCTTCAACTCAGATGCTGAAGGCTTTACCAAATCGTCAAGAAAGGCACAAAAGAGGACCTGGGGCCAGTCAGCCTCAACTTGATCTTTGGGAAGGCAATCCAGCAAATAACCTTGAAAATAACCTTGGGGGGGGAACTTCAGATAAACTTGGGGGGGAAGAAGGTGAT